GTTCAATAAATCACAATATTTTCAAAATAGGCCAAAATGTAAATCTGGAGTTTGTACAGTGTTCTTTTAGGTATTTGTTAAAATATGTGACAAAAACAACATTGCAATGAAGCGCTTTAGTGCTGCAGAGATGCCCAGGCTACCATTCTTGTTCTCAACAAACCACTAAACTAAATATGTTGCTAAATGATTTTAATAGTTTAGATGAAGATTTGGATCTACCAGATTGGCATATATCCAAAACGTCTTCTTTAGGCAGGCATTTGTCATGTAACCATATATTCTAGAGGTGTTGCACAATTGCATTTTTAGTATTCCTTTGCAAGAAGTTAGCGGTTTCAAAGCCAGAGCCTGCCCATGTGTAGAATGCATTGCTTGCATGCTGCACCCTCAGATTGATCGCCACACATGAGCCACACATGAGCATTATTGACTTAAAGAGATACAACCAAGTCAGACCATTTTTTTTCATAATTCTGAGAGGTTCAGACTGTTACAGCAGGGTTACAGCACAGTATGGCGATAAGTCTGGCACTGCGAGACCACGAGCCAAATAGAAATGAAAGTTCAATACAGCATGTGACCAGGACAGAAGTGGAGCTCGTGGAATAATGAGACTCTTCGGATCTTCGGATTCTTATTAATAAGCAGAAGTATAGCTACATTATTTAATGTATCTATACTAGTGGGTTTGTAATAAAAAAAACATTAAAACATTTTTGGGCATGATAAATGTTTCCCAAAATGTTGAACTTTACTGGTACCTCAGGAAACAGCCAACTCACTCAAGCTATCCATTTAAAACAGCACAACATCTGCTAAGTGCCACTGGCTTTATAATTATAAAAACACACTGTTCCCAAAAAATATCATCATTGAATGTGTCTACTAAGCACGCTCAGTGTTGCACATTAATGAAGACACGTGACTGCATTAACACGGCGAACCAGAACTGAGATACGCAGGGGAGTGGTAGTGACATACAGAGAGAAACTCAGTTGACATTTTGCTGATAATTATAGCCAGAGAGTGTGCTGTTCATAGCTCACCAAACCACGCATGATAAGGTGTGAGGGTGGGTAAACATGAGAAGGTTACATGGCAGCTCAGTAATTACATGCGTTAGACACATGACACTGTGCCAGTTAGCATAATGGAGATGTACTGAGCCTGTGAGGGTGGAGTGTTGTCTAGGCAACACATCAGAGGATAAGAGTGTGCTACAGACATATGCAAGATGATTAAAACAAATGTGTGTTCCATCATTGACGTTTGTACAAAGAAGTGATGTTCAGCAAGAGAAAACATCACTATCAGTACATTTAGAATAGTTCTCTAGAGAGTTAAAAAAAAAAACATGCTGTAGCTTCTATGTGATCAATTCTGGTTCAGATCTGGAGCTCAGAAGTGCAGTGTTGTATGTTTTCATGTTAAGATAGCCTCCAGTCTATAGTTAATCTTTTCAATTTCTTGTTTTTCTAAGTTTAACAGAAAGCACATGTAGAGATACAGCAAATGGAAAAATCAGGGCCGATATCGATGTTTGTTTCATGACTTTAGGAGTTGTTCTCTACACTTTCTACACATTTAGAAAGTCATAGTTATAAAATAAGCACGTTCCCAAATAGTGTTGGTATTCAAACAGAACAGCCAGTTATTTTTTTTGTTCTGATTTCATCAGGTAGACACAGAAATGAGCCGTGCCGGGCTTTGACCTGAAAGTCGAGCTGCATAAATGTATAATTTAGCAGAAGCTGCGTTGTCATAGTAACACAGTAAGTATGTATGCTGTTACTCATTCAAAAAAATATTTTTCTCCCAACTCCCTGTAAAAAAAAAAACTGAAACCACCTCTGTATGGCTAAAAGCCTCTGAAGTGAAGAGTTATTAATATGCATATTTTAATGGCCGTTCAAATTGACCCTGGAGCACACGCCTTTTCCACCTTTCCTATTGCTATAGAGCGGCTCTTTATGATACTAATAAAACCAGCAGCTCAGCCTGTAGAGACTTGGGTTGTGAACCAGAGGGTTTCTTTCAAGTCCCGGTATGGACCAGAGTATGGAAATAGCTCTGGTTGCTGGAGGAGTGCCAGTTCACTTGCCGAGGTGCCCTTAAGCAAGGCACGGAGCCCCCAAAAGCTCAGAGGGGCCTTGTGTGTGCAGCTCCCTCAACCTCACATCTCTCCAATAATGCATGACCATAGGTTACATCAGGCCTATCAGTGCCAGTAGAATTTCTCCCAATAATAAGAGTGTAAACAAAAAATTCACCTGAGGGGTTAATAACGTGAATAAAAAAATAAAAGTATATATTTGATGTGCTTTGGGTAAAACTTGTGAGTGACTACAAGAAGGAATGGGAGTATAAGAGTGTAACAATCTCGGTGAATTTAAAACAAATACGGATAAATGAACGTGAACTATAGCTCACCTTTTTTCACTTGGGTCAATATTTAAAATCGTTAACGATGAACATGAACTGATTCATTTCAATCGCGTGAATTGCACAACACTGCATGTCTCACACACAGACGGAAGTGTAGACAGGTTTATTGGCAGCAGGAGAGAGGAGGAAGTCAATACCTCTCATGTTAGAAAGAAAATTCCCCAAAACTAATATTACCCCGCAGCAGAGAACCAGGACAAAAAATAGTTACATAAAGGGGAATGCAAACACATGCATTCTGTCTCTTTCTCAGTCCCCTAGTCTTATCCTGTCTGTCCCACCGATAAAAGAAGGCCATGCATTGGAACATTGTATGCACTCCTCCAGCACTTGGTGCATTACTCTGATCTCTGCTCCGGCTGCTCTGATAATGTAAACCTCACCCACATGGACTGAGCTGGGGACAAGGCAGGGCAGCGCTCTGAATTTGTGTATTTATAGCAGTACTGTCATGAGAAAACCCCCAACTTAAACCACCAAGAGAGGCCCTGGCTGCTGCCCTCAGGGAAACCCCATAGCAACAAGGAACTCCAGCAAGCCGCCAGCCGTTTATTTTGGGCGTCTGCAGACAGGCCTGTGATGGCTTCAGGCTCAGGGCTGCATTTCTGTGCGTGAGTGTGACGATGTGTTCAGGTGGTTGCATTTGCATCTTTGGGTTGAAGAAAGTGGCGTAATGAGAGTGGGAATGTGCGTGCACTTCAGAAAAGTGTATATGGATTGTCTGTGTGATTCTTGTTTGAATTATCCACATTTCCACAAGTAGGCCATTCACTTTGGCTGCTCTGAGCTCAGCTAAGCAACCAGGATGAGATGCTGCATTAACAAGACGATACAGGCTTTGCATCCTCCATCATAGAATTATGACCTGAGGCGTTTCTTGTGGACTATCTACCCCCTGTGTCTTCCAGACGTCAACAAACAGCGTGCAGGATTCTCTAGTGGCAGGTAAAAGTGATTCGGTGTTAGGCTGTGTTAGTTTTGTCTCATTCAGGGCAGAAAGGTTGAGTTGCAGCAGGGTGAATCTATCTGACCAGCAGGCTAAGGCTAATTTCCTCTCAGCTAATGCTGAGCCTGCCTGTCCAAAAACTTGATGAGCTGAACAGCTGCTGTCAGCCAAGGGTGAGGCAGACAGAGAGAGGAGGCCAAAGAGAGTTCAAGAGAGAGAGGTTAAAGTCAAAGAAAGAATATCAAGCAAAAAGAGGAGGGCTAAACTAGAAGGTTTGATGGAGGTAAGTACAGTAAAAACAGTTTCCAACATTTAAATGTCTTGTTTCATCCAATGTAAGGAAGATAATCTAAATGTCCTCTCATATATGATATTGTTTGCTCACATACTATGTGTCTGCATATTATGGGAATTATACGTTTTTCATATTGGAGGAGACTTTTTGTATTTATAATTTTTAATTCAGTTATTCTATGTTTCTTACATGTCTGCCATGTGTTTCATGTTCATATAGCACCCTGAAATAATATAAATAGGGGAAGAGGAATGGTACAAGAAAGGAGCCAATGACAGACAGATAGACAAGACAGTGGTGAATAAGAAGCAGAGCCACAGAGAAAGTGAGGGAGAGACGTGAGAGACTGTCCAGACTGACAGCAGGGGTCCTTTATGAGTTCAGCTCAGGGTCCTAAAGCATCCAAAACCCCCTCCCCTCATCTGGGTGGCATAATCCAGGGGGAGGAATCCCTGGCAGACCAAGGTCCTGTCCCCCTTTATGTAACAGTATTGTAATCTAAGTACAGACAAGCCACAGCTATTATATATATATTTTGAAATTGAACATTGAAGTGGATGCTTTGCACGCTTAGTCACTAGTATGACTTACTGTCTGGGTCGATCTACTTTGCTAAGGTTGACACCCTTAAGGACACCTACAATACAGAGGGACCCTTCCCTGTACCAGTGCTCATCAAGCATAAGCAGCAGTGAAATCATTCTAGCCTGGTTCTTCACAACCTTGCTGTGTTAAATCTTAGCATTTTCACTACAGCGAATAAAGAGGAAACATTTTATCTCTGAGGATTTTTTTAAAAAACAGGGCCGATATATTATGTGGATGAATGAGGTAGACAAAAAAGAAATGCGAGTCATCTCTCCTCCTCATGAGAGCACAAAGATGTCTACAGGGCAGATACAGTATTCTGTAAACATGACCATGAACATGAGAGGAGTTTGATTTCAAGATGAAACCTTCACGATTCTAGAAACAAATGACTTAAACATGAAAATAAAACAAAAACTTAAAAAATAACCACAAAATAAAGAGAGAGACAGAAAATGGCAGCTTCTAGGCCTGTAATTGTATGACAGACAGACAGACACTCAGACAGACAGACAGACAGACAGACAGACAGACAGACAGACAGACAGACAGACAGACAGACCACAGATAGAGAAAAAGGAAATTTCTGACATCAAATGCCATGTTGGTAATGGCTGTATAAACTGAAAAAAAAAGTGAAATATACCAGACACATACATGTAATGTGATGCTTGTTCTTTGAGACCTGTGAAGATGAAGCAGGGTAAGATTTAAAATACTTACAATGTGAGCACATCTCCAGGGGGAAACTGGCTTCATTTCCCTGAAAAATAAAGAGAGAAATAAAGATGTCAGTTTATATTCTGACTGTAAACACCACACTCGTATAGAAGGAACAAGGTCAAATGATGTGCAACATATCTGGAGCTTATAAGTAGTTAATTGTGCTTGGAAACAAGATGTACGCACACAAATTTCACGCAACCAAGGGCCCAGTTGGGCACCTCCACAAAAAAAGTCAGAATTCGCCTCTTCAAACTAACATGCTTGCAGGCACTTCATGTTACTTTGGTCAGCACCATCACAGAGGGTTCTGTTGATGGGACAGAGGTGGCAACAAGTGAATGGACAGGGACTCAAAAGCATTTCCAATTGAGACTGACACAAATCTTCCAAAGTAGAAAAGGCAGGAGGTACTGCTGAATATTCATGCCTGGTTTGTTTGTTTCAAATTGTCCTAAAGCCACAAACAAACTGTTTCTGTTGAGACAAGCTAATCAACAGACAGCACCTTGTAATGTAGAGAGCCCTGAACTTCTTCAGGTAAATGCCCCGTCCAAAATTCATATCCTGGCACTGCATGTGAGACAAACCATAAAGGCTTTGTGTCAAAAATGAAAAACTTGCACTCAGCAGGTACACATGAGCAGAGGAGAGACATTGTTCACCCCTCTTAATAAGTGGTAGGGGAAACCCGAATAAAGAACTAATCTTTTACAAGTAAAAAAATCTGGGAAACATCGAGTTGGTTCTAATGGTTCTAATGCAGTTTTTTTAAGTACACATTCCTCGATGTGACTATAAATTGCTGCAGTTGACTATTTTCTTCAGCATTCACAGCTGTTTACTGGTTTGTCAGATCAACAATGGCGCCTCAAGTCATCCGTAAAAAAGTGTTTGTAAAAACAGGCTGTTGGTATAAAACTTAAAACATGAAGATGTGACTTCCTGCCAACCAATAAACAGATCAATGCCTTACACTCTAGATCCAGAATCTATCGTGTTCAATAATAATCTTAAACTGTAACTTGTGTTCAGCGCTTTGGATATGGAAGGTTGTACGGTACATTCCAGCATGAAGTCATGGTCTTCTGCTGGTGTGGTATTCATGTGTGAGGATGTTAAAGTCTTTTTTATTGCAGATACATAACACCTATGCCGAGTCATGCTAAGACTTTTTGAAATTGTGAGTGAAGCTTTTAACATTTGGCTTCTTTTGATTTTCAAGCTAGAACATCTGAAATGTCTAGAGAATGTGAATTCCTCAGATAGCCTGTGAAAAAGTGTGTCCTTGAAGTACTGTAGCTCCATACAACACATGGCAATAAATCACGCTTAGATTATCTTTATTAATACTTTAAAAAACTGAGAGAGTTGAGAGTTGATATGTCACATAACAATTATAAAGAGTTGTAATTAAAATGTGTATTGTGAATGTCATATGATATTTGGAACACATTTTCCCCCAGGAAATAACAATAAAAAGCCTTAAAAAATATGTGGCTTATATCCAGGACATGAAAAAACACAAATTTGAATATAAGAAGTTGATTAGAACATTAACTTGTTTTTAGAATTTCAACAGTTAATTTTGTGGAAAATTAAATGAACAGAGATGCTGAAAAGACTCATCACTTTGTTCAACTGTAGGATTTTCATGTATTTTAGAACTTGTATATTTCATGATAAATCCTACGCTAATATTTACTGAGTTCAGGTAAACATTTTTGTATGCAGGCGTGCAAAACAAACGTCAAGGCTCTTTAAATCAGCAATTCCATCCTGAGACACAATATGGGGTGGTTGTATTTGTGTGTGTGTGTGTGTGTGTGTGTGTGTGTGTGTGTGTGTGTGTGTGTGTGTGTGTGTGTGTGTGTGTGTGTGTGTGTGTGTGCGTGTGTGCATGGGTAGTGCATGTGTGTGTGTCTGTGTGGTATTGGCTCATGTTCAACAGTCACATCCGCATCCCATCCCATCCTGCACTGCAGTGTTCACTGAGCCTGAGTCTGATTGCTGGCAGAGTGAAGCTGAGCGCTCCCATCGGAGCCAGCCGGGGTGGAGTCCCTGTTGAAGAGGGGTGGGGACGACGCTATGACGGGGTGGGAATCCTGCAGAGTGGGTGAGATGCCCCAGGCCTGTTTGCAATTGACCGGAAATGTTCTGTAGCTCCATCTAGGAATACCAATCTGTCACTGTACTTTGAAAATATGCAATCTGAATCCCAGCTATGTAACCAGTAACCACATTCGAAGATGTACAGTGTCAAGGATGCAGAAATATTATGCAGCAATTAAAAATAAAATAAAAAGAAATTCTGCCTGGCCATTTTTGTTGCCTTCATTTGAAGCAAAGTTTTGATATTGTAACGTGAAACACAGAAGTAAATAGTTTAATGCCGAATAAGATGATAAAGTCTGAATAAGAAAAGTGCATGAAACAATTTTTTTTTCAAATGTTTTTCTTTGAAATCAAAGCCTTTGTTCTTGCTTGTACAAAATAGAAGCACTAAGACCGCTCTGAACATGCGTGTTTAAAAATGGACCCTCCCTCATAAATTAAACATAATCTAGCTTGTTCATCAGCATGAGGAAAACTTTCCTGCCTTGCTTAAGAAAAAACAAACGCTACAGCTCCAGAAAAATCTAAGCGATGTAATATGACAGTTACACACACATAGTTTACACAGTGAACAGTATAGTTTCAGTTAAGTCATTCACTGGCTTGTCGCTGTGCTGCGGCACAACAGCAGACTTACATCAGAGAAGTTGGGGTATTTTAAGAGCAGCGAGGAGAAAGAGGTGACACAGGATTAGCCAGGAGAGCGACTTAGCATTTGACACCCTATCAGGAGAGCAGCTTCCTGCAGCCGAGGAGTGATCGAAGGGATGAAATAAACATTGTTTTCCTCTATGACGCAACAGGTTAACAGTGGGGACGGTTCAGTTGAGTGCGTAGTGCACAACTACTCCACCATGCAGAGGTCTGGTGTCCCAATGGCCTGTAAGGCTTAGAGGATGAAAAAGAGTGCAATATTATATTGACCCCTGTTTGGGAAAGTTGCTTTGTTTGTGTCCTCATGTTCAAGAGAAGGTTACCAGTGCTACTTGGTTGTTGACACTTGTATATTAGTTTCCCCAAATCAGGTTTCACAAAAACATTATCAATTATCAATCAATTGCCGCCTTTTACTCTTTTTATTTACGGTCCATTGGGCCTTTTTTGTAAATGAAGCAATAGTTGTAATAATTGAATCATCACAAACACAGATGTTCTATAGTCGGCACTTTTCACCACACACATCAGTCGTGCTTTAATCTCTCTTAAGTCCTGCAGAAATTGTGTGTATATTGATACGACGCTGCACCTTGAAACCAGCTGCCATAACATGTTACACATCTAGAAATGGAGAGAATGAATTTAATATTCTCACACATGACATAAAATAGTCTTTTCTATGTCTGTGTGTCAAAAAGAGCTAGGCATTTTTGAATTCAAGTTTTTTTCTAAAGGCAAAACAAACAGACCAATAATTTGTCGTACACAAGAGAGAGTTCATTAATTTCACCAAAGAAATGCTTCGAAATGCCAGTTGTTGCCTTTGAATCCAGCTGTCAGACCAATGCTCTGACACTGCAGCAGGATAAAAAGCTGGTCGATCTGACGAAACATGTCACAAGTGGCCAAACATGTCAGTGTGCCTCAAAGACTGAAGTAAGCTATTGTTAGACTAAAAGGTGCTACTTCAGAGTGGTCACCCTGAGATCATTTGAAGGGACAGCACAGGGCTTTTTTTTTTTTTACTTTTCATTAACAAAATCCATTTGACAAAAAAACAAAAAAAAAAAACATTGCCCAAACAAATAGATAGGATGCCGGGGAGACACATCTCTGATAGTTTGATGAAGTTATTTTAGTCTAACAAAAGGTAAATAAAGAAAGGTTTGATGAATGAGTGTGGGAAATGCACATTGTCAGTTCACAGACCTCCGCTGGTGTTAAGTTGCTGAAGGGTCCTTGAAGGTAAAGAGACTTACAGCAAAGCAGATTTGGTGTTGAGGATTACAGGTTTACTAACTAAGGCCTGCTTTAGGTCACTGGTCACTAATGTAGGGTCAAAAGTAACTCATGTCTTCTATAGAAAACCACTTCACATAGCTGCCCATGCGGTTACATAGAGAAGCTAAGGGAGCTTGTCAGATGAGATGATTAGAGAAATATAGAAATAGAGGAGAACACAGTCACAGCCAGAGAGAGATATGTGATTGAGAGAGAGAGAGAGAGGGAGGAGAGAGGCTTGTGTTGGCTCATCAATCATGCATGTTTCATTCAGAATCAATTAGGCCTTAGCACACAAAACATGTTTTGCATAATGACAAGTCTGGCACTGTCCCTGGTTCAGCAGCCACTCTATGGCCGACCCAAAAACCTGGCTAATAATAGACCAGCAGAACCCAGTCACAACATGAGGCACTGTAGTACAGAGCACATGGCTGTGTAGAGGGCTATCCTGTAGACACTGTAACGTAAGCAAAAATCAAAGAACAGCAAATGAAGATGTGGATGCTACTACATGATTCTTCTACTATCAATTGGAGGTATAAGGTGAACATTCAGTACGATAGTATTTTGTGAGCTAACCTAAGTTTTCATGACTCTACAGACATAAACCAGACATCTAAAAGTTCATTAGTTCAAAAGTCCATGATAGGGGATCCACTGTAATCCTTTTAACACCATTAAAATACTCTCTGTAGAAACCAGAGACTTCTCATCTATAACCTTCATACACACTGGGCATGCTTGCTGAGACCAAATGCTCTTTCTCAGCGACGCCCCTCTCACAGAGTTACACATAGTACACCTGGACGCTGCAGTCATTTAGCCAAGGGCACAGCCCGGGAATTAGGAAGCAGCAAGTGCTACCCATTCACTTCCCTATCTAAATGTGCTGATCGTAAAAAGCCACCTTTTGATACAGAGCCTGCTTATATTACAGTCAGGCCATGGCACTTTGACACACTTCATGTTAAAAAAAAAAAAAAC